ACGCTGCTCTCTCCTGGTTCTCCTCCTACCTATCCCAACGCTCCTTCAGCGTCATCTATAACACTGCCACATCCCCCTCTCTGTTGGAGTCCCCCCAAGGCTCTGTCCTCGGACCCCTCCTCTTCTTCATCTACACCTCCTCCCTTGGCAAACTAATACACTCTCATGGCTTCAACTACCACCTCTATGCCGACGACACACAAATTTACCTCTCCACCCCCCACCTCACCCACTCACTCTCCGCCCGCTTCGCCCACCTCCTGAACGACAAATCAGACTGGATGTCGCTCCATTTCCTCAAATTTAACCTGTCCAAAACCAAGCTCCTGGTCTTCCCCCCAGCCCGCGCCCCCCCATCCTCTCCATCACTACTAGCAATGCCACCATCACTCCCACCCCACATGCCAAAGTCCTGGGTGTCACCCTGGACTCAAACCTTTCCTTCCAACCTCATGTCCAATCACTATCAAGGTCATGCAGGCTCCGCCTCCGCAACATCTCCAAGATACGTATGTTCCTCACCCCAGACACTACTAAACAACTCGTACAGTCCCTCATCATCTCCCGCCTGGACTACTGCAACTCCCATCTCACTGGCCTACCCAAACAAACGCTATCCCCACTCCAGTCTATCCTGAACCCAGCGGCGGGACTCATCCACCTCACCAACCGCTCCACATCCGCCACCCCCCTCTGCCAATCCCTTCACTGGCTCCCGATTGCCCAGCACATCAAATTCAAATTGCTAACACTGACCTACAAAGCCATTCACAACGTCGCCCCAAACTACCTAACCGACCTGATACCCAAATACCACCCTACCCGTGCCCTTCGCTCCTCACTGGACCTCCTACTCTCTAGTTCCCTGGTCTCCTCCTCCCACGCTCGATTGCAGGACTTCTCCAGGACTTCCCCCATCCTCTGGAACTCCCTACTCAAATCCATCAGACTGTCACCTAATCTTTCAAGTACCTTTCCTGGAAGAGGACTTGAAAAAAATATGATTATGGAGAAGTGGGCCAAAAGAAACCAAAAAACCTCAACAAACCATCTCAGATGCAACACGTTTGTCATACTATTGAGCACAGCAAGGCCTCTTTCACGTGGCCTTAAAGTAATAATAAAGCCATTTTCACATGGGCGGACCAATTGGGTCCACCTGTCCATTTTTCAGGAGGACCCAATCAGACCATCCATTGCCCTGTATGGAGTGGCGGATGTAAACAGACATGTGTTAGTTTACACCCGCCTGCATCCAATACGATCAGATCTGCTGAAAACAGATAGATGAGGATCCGTTCATCATCAATCTAGCACACTGAATGACAGTCAGGTGTAAATGGACAGGCCGTCCATTTACATCCGACCGCCCATAGAAGGCAGCAGGCTCTGTCCAGAAAGAAAAACGAAAAAGTGAAACACTGTACATACTCAACAGCCCCCTCTCGCAATCCCTGCTGTACTTACCTCCAGGAATGCTGTCCGTGTCCAGCGGCCCAGGGAGTTTAAATCCTTGCTCTCCTCCTCTGTGCAGCACTTCTGGGACAGACCAGAACAATTCTGATTTGTCAGCGCTTGCACAGCGAATCACTTTTCTCCATCCTGAAAGCGCTGGACAGAAAAGAGGGAGAAAAGCATGGAAGTCAATTCCTTGAACTGCGGAGCTGGATGTGTGAGAAATGACAGCTCAGTATCCCACAGTCACAGGAGGGGATTTTGAATGTGTAGGGTGTTACTTCACCTTTTAAATTTTTCTGAAAAAGTGAACACTTTAACAACAGAATCTTAGTTCTGCTTTAATTACTGTGAGTAGACAAAATCTTCATTGCAGAAGAGAGATGCAATGTCTCTTCTGCAATAAGATGCACCTACCTCCCTGTTCGCAGTGTTCCCTGTATGTAAACTGAGCTGCGCATGCACAACTTGGCTTAAAGCACTGGCATGATCCCTGCGTTCCAGGACACCCAACTCCTGCGCAGGAGTGACATCCATGCCAGCCAATTAGGATGGCCGGAAACTGGCACACAAAGAAGGTGCTGGTGAGGGACAGGGATCAATGGAGAAAAGGTGTGTGTAACTCCCTTTAGTTCTGTTTTAATGATGAAACAAATGCAGGTAAACTCAGCTATAGTGTTAACCCACATTCAAGGCGTTACATTCAGTGCATTACATTACATAAATCTGCCCAAATGCCACCTCTGGATTTCAGTATTTTTCACGAGGGGAAGCGATTGCTGTGAACACTAGCATTTTGAACCATTGCAATTGAATTCAGTGGAGACAACAGGTTGCAGCAAAGCCTAGCCATTTGCTCTCCTGAGGATTTACCTCCTTCCTGACAAGGCCATTTTTTGTGTTACAGCGCTGCGTTACTTTAACTGACAATTGTGCGGTCATGCAATGCACCGAAATGAAATGTACATAATTTTTTCCCCACAAATAGAGCTTTCTTTCGGTGATATTTGATCACCTGCATGTTTTTATTTTTTGCACTATAAAAAAAAAGATCGACAAATTTTGAGGAAAAAAATAAAATATTTTTGACTTTTTGCTATTTAACATGTCCAGTAAATAAATTTTAAAAATCAAATTTTATCATAAATTTAGGCCAAAATGTATTCTGCTACATGTCTGCTGAAAAAAAAAAATCCCAATACGTGTAAATTAATTGGTTTACCTGAAATTTATAGTGTTTACAAATGGCGGTATATATACTGGAATTTTTTCTTTTTTTTACTAGTAACGGCGGCAATCGGCGACCTATAGCAGGACTGCGGCGGGCATTCTGACACGAGGGGAACTGATTTGGTGTCAATGATCAATGCTAATAAAAAGCACTGACACTATATTAATGGCACAGGGTAGGAAGAGGTTAACATATGGGACGATCAAAGAGTTAACTTTGTGGTGTTTTACTGTGTGTCTGTGCTTCACTATAAGCACACTGCTTTGCATGGCTCTGCTATGCAAAGCCATGCATAGCAGTGTGCAGGAGCTGGCAGGGGAGAGAACTGTATTGTTTACTTTTCTCTCCCTCCGTCGGGGACCCGGTGATTGACAGCCGAGGCCGCGAATAGTGGCGTGGGTAGAGGGCTCATGCACGCCCCCTATCCGGAAATGCAAAATCTCCTATATATACACGTGATAATGTGCACCCGTGCCGCCCTATAGCAGTATTTCTGCTATAGGGTGGACGGGAAGCGGCTAGAGAACGTGGCATGCCCTAAAATTCTTCATGCAAATATACAGTGTATATTGTCCCGTCCGTCATTTTTTAAACTACCTAGCATGTTGACAGGCAGTATAGGATCTTGTTTTTGCGCCATCTTTAAAGTAGTTGCACATATACCCAGTGAAGTGACTGGCCTCAGATGAAACACAGAGATTAAACAAATCCTTCCACACGTCATACTTGGTTATCTGCAGCCCTCTGCCCTGTACATCCATTGATAAACCAGAATTTATACAGCTTGGCTGAGCCTTCAGAATACAGGGGCAGAGACCTGAAATTACACATAGCAGAGATCAGCGAGGAGAGCTATGAGAGCTGATTGAAGGGAATGGACTCACCACCCTGCACACAGGAACAAAGCTGTGGCTGTCACCCACATGCTGTGTGCTGGTGCTCCTTTCCTGTCACGTTTTTTTTCTCTTGATGTCGGGAAAACTTGTCAGAAGTGACATAAGTTGATAGAGGAACAGGGCAGCAGAAAGTGATACTTAGTGCGCTGGACTGTGACAAGTATACACTATACAGGGATATACTTTGTGCATATTTCACGTCTGAGGTTTACAACCACTTTAGAGAGGAATTCCAGGCTAAAACCTATTAATTCTAAGCACCCTGTAGAAGGAAGGTGCTTATACTGACCTAGTCTCAGGGAGCTTTGGCCATATGATTGGCTCCCAACAATGGTTAAATTTATTTTCCCATGTAGTGGGGCTGTGATCGTTTTCTCGAGGAGCTCAGAGAAAAGCTATACCTACCCCATCCTTTGGAAAACCACGTCCCCCCACGTCCAGCGGTTGACTGTTCCTATTGTCCTCATGTCTGGACTAGAGCCGGTCTATGGGCATGATGACATCAGTAACAGCCCATTCACAAGACCGCTAGCATAGGTTGGGGGTTAGGAGCGGCGGAGAACGGTCTTGCGCTTAGAGCAGTGGTCTTCAAACCGCGGCCCTTTGCTTGTTTTTATCTGGCCTTTGGAGCACTACTTTATTCACTGACAACAACAAAGGGACACAATTCCGGCCAATGACACCAACAATGGGACACAATTCCTCCCAATGACACCGACAATGGCACAATTCCTCCTAATGACGTGGCCCAATAACACCAGTGATGGGGCACAATCCCTTGCATTGACACCAGTGATGGGGCACAATCCCTCCCAGTGATGGGGCACAATCCCTTGCATTGACACCAGTCATGGGGCACAATCTGGCCAATGACACCAACAATGGGACGCAATTCCTCCCAATGACACCGACAATGGCACAATTCCTCCTAATGACGTGGCCCAATAACACCAGTGATGGGGCACAATCCCTTGCATTGACACCAGTGATGGGGCACAATCCCTCCCAGTGATGGGGCACAATCCCTCCCAGTGATGGGGCACAATTCCTACCAATAACACCAACGATGGGGCATTGTTTACTCCAACTGATGCTGGGAAATTTTCTCCTCCTGGTGGCCCTTTGTTTAAAAAAATTGTGAAGACCCCTGGCTTAGAGGATCGGAGGTTTAAGTAAGTATCTCTCAGCATTATAAATCCCTAGACAAAAACAAGCAGTTAACCCATGCAGTGCAGGCACAGGCCCACTGCATGGGAATAGCACATTGTTTTGCCCAGATTTCTTGTTTCAGCTTAGTTCTAGCCTGGAATTGCAGTATAGGCCCATGTGAAAGAAGCATTAGGGACATGGCCAACAACCAAAGCGTTCCTCCATTACAATCCTGATGGGGAGATGTAGAAGCTAAGCCCCCCACTCACCAGTTGGTCATGTCTAGGAAGAACGCACAGCCCGCAGGATTGAGCTGAAAGCCCAGTAGGCGCTGGAATTCAGAGATAAGCACATCTTTATCGGTGGTTCCCAGACAGCTGAACTTCTGCATAAGTTCCTGGTCCAGGTCCACGTCCATGCCCTCCATGACACCAGGCCGTCGCAAGGAGCCTCCTCGCAGCGACTAAACACGTCTAGGTGTCCTGTGTCCAGCCCAAGTTCTAGCCCTCAGGTGCCAATGACATCCACTACCGCCAAGGCGGACTCCGCCGCCCCTCCCGATGGACGCTCTGCTTCGCTCAGGCCTCTCCCGGGCTGCCCCTCCTGACCCCCCGGGAGGCTGCGGCTCCTCCGGCAACACCGACGGTGACCTTTGACCTCCGAGTCAGTGACCTTTGACCCGAAGCCCACAGATTCGGATCCCACGTTCCGCACGTGCCACCGACACCGTACCCGGGACCTTTAGTCAAGGGCCCCGGTCTCCGGCTCCGCAGCAGGCCACTCGGGGCCTCCCCGCTTCCTGAGCGCTAGACACGTCATGACGTCACGGCAGACACGGATTAGACGCATTTCGGTTGACACCGCCCCTAGCAGATTAAACACCCGAAAGCATGGTTTAGCCTTATCAAATATGAACAGAAAGGGCTGCAAAAGTCCCAGTTGTGGTATAAAACACTCATATAGGGATGCTTGGCTTTATTTGTGGCCCGATAGTGAGGGAGCTAATTTGCCCTTAACTAAGATGGAGGTTGCAGTTGAAGTTTCCGGTTGACGAAACGTCCGGTCAACTTTAACACCGGCGGGCTACTGAGCGCATTGCTTCCGGTGGAGACAAAGGTGGCGAGTTGGTGGTCGGAATCATGCCTAAGTGAGTGAATGAGTCGGTAATGTGTTATTGCAGATGGTTTGTTCGGGTGAATGGGCGTTGTGTATGTTATATTTACACGTGGTGGAGTTTCCATGTGACAAGAATAACGTGTTCAATGCTCTATTCTTAGGTTTTATTGCGACTACTGTGATACCTACCTCACCCATGACTCGGTAAGTTGATCATACTTCGCTAATGTAGATTTTCTTCATTCATTACTTTATTAATTAGTCTTACACCTTGCTTTTAGTGTGTGGTTTCCAAATGGGTACTATTCACAGCGGCAGACATTTATCACTTTATATGTAGCCCATCCTGTGTACTCATGGCTAGCTGGGAAAAATGGAAACCAGTGTGCATGTGTCTGAAAGAGTCACAAGGGTGCTTGGGCAGCATGGCGGCTCAATGGTTAGTACTTGTGAATGGCAGTACTAGGGCTGTAAGGTTCAAATACCAACCATGGAACCACCTGCCTGGAGTTTGCATGTTCTTCCTGTGCCTATGTGGGTTTCCTTCCACACTCAAAGACATGCTGGTAGGTTAATTGGTCCCTGTTTAAATTGGCCTTAGTGTGTATGAACGGGACATAGGGACCTTAGATTGTAAACTCCTTGAGGGTAAGGTACTGATGTGAATGTTTTATATATATATATATCTCTATCACACGTAAAGTGTTGAGTAAATAGTAGTATAAGCACTAATATAAGTACCTGTAGTAATAATAATAATAAGTCCCACTGCTGTGTGACTGACCATTCACTATATGCCATTGTAGAATTCTCTGTAGGTTTTCCAAAATTAATATGATATGACCAACCTATACAATGCATCCAGTTGGTATAAGGGAAGGCTCCCCCACTACATAGTTGCTAGATCTATATCAGTGTGCGCAGTCAGATTTTATAGTGCAGGTGTTTTGAATTGAAATTTACGGAGGTCCGGTCAGCAAAATTTCCTTCCAGCTTAGGTCCGAATCTCGTTAGCGATATAACACATCACAGTCTCCCCCAGTACATTATGATCTTTAACTTACCTTTTACACACCCTATTCACCCTGAGGTCATCACAGAGGACAAGGAGGCACTCTGTCTGGAGAAAAATAAATTTAATCTCCAAACACAGAAAGGTTTCTTCACAGTGAGAGCTGTGAAAATGTGGAATAGACTCCCGCAAGAGTTGGTTCTGGCCAGCTCAGTGCGCTGCTTTAAAAAAGGCCTAGATTGTTTCTTAGATACACAGAATACAACTGGATACTAACATTTATAGGTAAAGTTGATCCAGGGAATATCCAATTGCCTTTTGGGGGATCAGGAAATAATTTTTTTTTCCCTGCAGGAGCAAATTGGATCATGCTTTGCTGGGTTTCTTTTTCCTTCTTCTGGATCAATTGTGGGTATAGGATTATAACTTTTTTTTTTTTTTTTTTAGTTTTTGAACTGGATGGACCTTTTGTCTTTTTTCAGCCAGACTAACTATGTAACTAGTCCCCTCTTTAAAGAACTGCCCCCCTTTACATCACACACCGTCTCCTAACACAAACACAGAGCCCCTTTTAATGCAAACCTTCCCCTAGTACCTTAGACAGGGCAGAGACACTAATCTTTCTGTGGTGTCCTCTACTGGGCCTCTAGCCTGCCTGCTGTCATCCTCATGGTGGGCTAGGTGTGGGGGGCAAAAGGCTGCCTAGGTTGTTGTGTTGACAGATGAGCGATTGCCTGACTTGCTGGTGTGGGGGGGGGCTACCGTTTTCTGTCTCGAGCTGCAGAGAACGGAGGTCTTTGCATGTTGACTGGCTGGGTGGTTGCGGGATTCTGCCCCTCAGCCCCGATCTGCAGCTCTTCACGCCCTGCCCACTGAGGGGCGGTCCTGTGCAGACTACAGCCATGCCGCTGCTGGGTGTCTCCTTCTGGGCCTCCTGCCCGGCCGCCTGTGTCGTCCTTGTGGTGGGCAGCGTGTAGGGGGCTGCTGGGCGGGAGCTAGTGATTGCCCGGCTTGGTGTGTGGGGACTTCCGCTATCTGCAGCTTGAGGAAGGGGGCAGCGCTAATACATGAAAACCAAATGACAAATATGTGAATGTTCTTCACTTTCATACAGTATTACCATGTCCCAAAAATAATGTCAATGATGACCAGCAATGAAAATGTCCAACGTATTTTTGTATTGAACTGTATTGTTGCTGTATTGTCTCCCTTTATATTGTAAAGCGCTGAGCAAACTGTTGGCGCTATATAAATCCTGTATAATAATAATAATATTGTGTGAACTGACAGTGATCAGTAATAAAAAAAGTGACTTTGCGATAATCCTCCAGCACTGTGCACTCACCAGAAGCAAACCAGCATTGAATGGAAATGACTCCTAAGGATGCATCCATCCACTCCCTTTTTGCCAGTCACCAATCCATCAAAGGTGAAGTGCCTCCTAAGGAAAGAGCTGCTCATTCTTTAGTACAGCGATGGGATACAGAGAGAGCATGACAGTCATGCTTTCTCTGTATCCCATCGCCGTGCTACGGAATGAGGATGTGCAGCTTTCTTTAGGTGGCACTTCACCTTTGATGGATCGGTGACTGGCAAAAGGGAGTCAGTTTACAGACCATAGTCTGCCATTTGGTGACCACTGGTACAGTGTATTGTCAGCTTTAGGATAGTTTCAATTTCACTTGAAATTGAACTTCCACATGGCATTAACAGTTAAGGACCACCCTATAACAGATATACTGCTACAGGGTGGCACCTGTGTGCAAAATCATATATATGTGATTTTGCATTTACGGGTAGGGGGCGCGCCACCATTTGCGGCCGCGGATGTCAATCACCGGGTCCCAGTCGGTAATTACCTGCCGGCGCCCGGTGATTACCGACAATCACCGATAGGAAGACTGTTTTGTTTACAAACAGTCTTCCTCCCGGTCAGCCCGAGCAGTGTGCTTACAGTAAAGCACACACTCCCAGCACATAGTTAACCCTTTTATCGCCCCTCACATCAACCCTTCCCTGCCCAGTGCCATTAGTACAATGTCAGTGCTATTTATTTTTTTTTATTTATTTATGTGTAGTATTTGTATAGTGATTTGTGCAATACTCTTGTGACTGCTTGGATATGGAATATGTTTGACAGAGTGTCTGTGACTGAAGACCATGCATGTATTTGAATGAAATGTAGAGCCCAGCTATTTAGATTTTTATCTTAAACTGGTTAATCCTCAAGTTTTTTTACCTTCTTGTATTCTATGCATGATGGTAAAAAAGCCCTGTGTGTAGCAGCCCCTGCCTCCCTGACCTGAGCCCCATCTTGATCCAATGATGCCCACAAGAGTCTCCGTTCTCTGGGGGCTCTCACTCCTGATTGGCTGAAGCAGGAGTCATTGGCTCCCCTTGCTGTAAGTCACAGCCAGTGAGCCAATCAGGAGAGGGAGGAGGCAGGGCCGAGTTGTGGTTCTGTGTGAATGGACACGCAGAGCAGCGGCTCGGGAGCGTGCCTGCTCAGGTTCCCCCATAGCGAGCTGTTTTCTGTGGGGGCACCTGACAGGAGGCAGGGATCAGGAGCACCTGTGGGGGACCCGCGTAAAGGAGGATCTGGTCTGCTCTGTTCAAAACAATTACACAGAGCATGTAAGTAGAACATGTTTGTTATTTTTAAGAAAAAAAACAAGACTTTAGTATCGCTTTGTCTTTTCCTAGCAGCCATTGCTGCACAAGTATTCCCCAGGCATTTATCCCTCCTAGAATTCAGGCTCAGCAGTGGTGCTGCTGATAAACAAATTCAATTTTTGTTTTATTTATTTTCCAGCCTTCTGTTCGTAAGACTCACTGCAGTGGAAGAAAACACAAGGAAAATGTAAAGGATTACTATCAGAAATGGATGGAAGAGCAGGCTCAGAGTCTTATTGACAAAACCAGTAAGTTATGGTTTTTCACCTCTTGTACTGCCCTAAGAACTTGGGGGGGGAATTATCTGCATAAAGAATTGTCCATGGAGGCATGCCCAGGCATTTTCCTTTGGGTAACATCAGTTCAGCCGTTTTTTGTTTTGCTTTTTTGTTTTTTGTTTTCCCCTCTGGGGCTCCTGACTCCTCCCACTCGAGCAGTGCCCCCAGGGAAAGCTGTTTGCCCTGGGGGCACTGCTTCATGTTTGTCCCTGAGCCACTGCTGTGTCCATAAAACGCACATGTATCAAGCTTCATGCATTTGTTTTCTGGACTGTGCAAAAGAACAGTTCCATGGGAGGAGAGATGCACTAAAACGCATGTGTTGCCTATTTACAGGCAAAGGCTATATACACTATATTGCCAAAGTATTGGGACACCCCTCCCAATCATTGGATTCAGGTGTTCTAATCGCCTCCATGGCCACAGGTGTATAAAATTAAGCACCTAGGCATGTAGACTGCTTCTACAAACATTTGTGAAAGAATGGGTTGCTCTCTGCTCTGTGAATTCAAGTGTGGTACTGTGCTAGGTTGCCAACTGTCCATCTGTGAAATTTCCTTGCTACTAAATATTCCACAGTCAACTGCTAGTGGTATTATAACAAGGTGGAAGCAACTGGAAACAGCAACTCAGCCACAAGTGGTAGGCCACATAAAATGACAGAGCGGTGTCAGCACATGTCGAAGCGTACAGTGCGCAGAAGTCGCCAACTCTCTGCAGAGTCAATAGCTTTCAGACCTCCAAACTTTGTGTGGCCTTCAGATTAGCACAACAGTGCATAGAGAGCTTCACGGAATGGGTTTCCATGGCTCAGCAGCTGCATCCAAGCCTTGCATCACCAAGTACAATGCAAAGCGTCGGATGCAGTGGTGTAAAGCACACTGCCACTGGACTCTGGAGCAGTGAAGATGTGTTCTCTGCAGTGACGAATTACGCTTCTCTGGCAATCCGATTGATATATCTGGGTTTGGTGGTTGTCAGGAGACCGGTACTTGCCTGACTGCATTGGAGGGATGGCGTTGGGTTATTTTTCAGGGGTTGGGCTTGGCATCAGCATACCAAGACATTTTGGACAATTTCATGCTCCCAACGTTGTGGGAACAGTTTTGGGGATGGCCCCTTCCTGTTCCAGGACCAGTGCACAAAGGAAAGTCCATAAAGACATGGATGAGCGAGTTTGGGGTGGAGGAACTTGACTTGCCTGCACCTTGAGTCCTGACCTCAACCAAATAGAACACCTTTGGGATGAATTTAGAGTGGAGACTGTGAGCCAGGCCTTCTTGTCCGACATCAGTGCCTGACCTCACAAATGTGCTGCTGGAAGAATGGTCAAACATTCCCATAGACACACTCCTAAACCTTGTGGACAGCATTCCCAGAAGAGTTGAAGCTGTTGGGGGGTGGGCCAACTCAGTATTGAACCCTACGGAAAAAGACTGGGATGCCATTAAAGTTCAAGGCATGCGTCCCAATACTTTTGGCAATATAGTGTGTTTCTTTATTTGGATTGTTTAGAGCTAGGTACCACACTTATCAGAGGTGCCTTGACACAACACTGTTGCTTCCACATATGTATGCATCTGAAACCGATTGGTTAGGTTAATGTTTTTTTGACTAGCTTGAAAGTGCGCTGGGGAACTCCCTTTGTACTGTCTTATATTATATTGATATTGTCATACTTTTTCAAGATCATTAACTCAAATTATTGAAGAAATCCAAGCACTAAATGTCTTTACACTGCAGTTTAAAAAGAAAAGGATATTTCCACTTTAGCAGCCAAATTGGGATAACGCCTACTTTTATTTTTAAGACTGCTAAACCTAAAACAAATATTTAACCCCCCCCCCCCCCCTTGTTATGTGTGTGGGGGGTGAGCTGTTTACTGTAATTAACCCTATCTGGAGGCAGATATCGCATCAGTTTTACTCGATTTTTATTATTGTGTTAACAGAAGGTTAAATATATATAGTAGTGGGCTTTCCCATTGTATGTTAATGAGAACTGCACTTAAGCCTAGTACACACGTTCAGAAAATAATACGAAAAATACCAATTTCAAGGCAATCGTACGATAAGCTGATCGTTGGTACACAGCTTTCATCCAAAACTGATTGAAGGGACAAGCACAAAAATTTTTCTTGTACGATACCAAATTATATATTTTTCATTTTTAATCAGTAAATTTTTCCTTTGAAAATGCAATACATCACTTCCAAATTTTTATTCTGTTGTACAAGAATTTCCGTAAATTTAGTAACCTCTTCACTTTCAGTATGGGACTAGCATGCAAAAAAAAAAGCCCAGGTTGACCATTCGTGTGTATGGTGCTTCAACCATTCCCCAACTCAGGAACAGATCATGCTGAGAAGTGCCCGTCTGCCATGATGCCTTTTCCTCAGAAACCTACAAAAGCAATATTATAATCATTAAAATATACTGTGTGAGTAGGAACACATAACAAACATGTCTTGGGGTTTTCTCAAATGTGACTTAAGTCGAAATACACTTAACAGGGGTTTGCCACTTTAGGTACTGCTGTCATTACTTGAAGATTTACACTCCTGCTGCTGCAGCTCTTGTACTGGTATGTCAGTGTTGCTTGTCTGCCTCTCTCCCCTTGCTTATTCATAGAATGCTTTGTATATCTCTGAGCTATTCACAGAATACAAAGTGTTTTGTGAATGGAGAAGGGCATGGGAGGAGTAGACAAGCCACAGTATGTCTTCTGTGTATGAAAGCTACAACTCATTATTGCACTACCAGGATTATAGTGAGAGCCTAACTATATCCAGCTTGCATGAAAGTGTAAATATTAAATTTATGTAATAATTAAAAGTTACACCTTTCACAAGCCTTAAAAGACAAGTGCGGGGTCAAAAAAAAAATTCATACTTTACTAGATGGCTACAGCTGTCCCCTGCCAACTCTACATTGAGACTTGAGTGATCAAAGACTGCTGACCGCTCAATTCTTGGGTCTGTTCTAAGCAGAGTGGTGATTGTCAGCACTCTATGCCCCTCCTGCGCTCACTGGAGCACAGGACTGGAGGGGGCAGGAGCAATGGTCTCAAAAGCTTTGCTCCTATGTCTCCTTTAATGAAGAATTCCAGGAATTTATTTTTTTTGCATGCAGTGGGGCTGTGCCAGCATCGCATTGATTAACTGCTAACTTTTGTCTAGGCGTGAGGGGAGCAGTCTAGCGGTCTTGTGCATGGACTGTTGCTGATGTCATCACGCCCATAGACTGGCTCTGGATGTGAGGACGGCAGGAACAGTCCACCACTGGACATGGGGAGCACTGGTTTCCGGAGGATCAAAGAATCGGGTAAGTATAGCATTTCGGTGTGCCCCTGGACAAAACGGGCAGTTAGCACATGCAGTACAGGCACAGCCCTATTGCATGGATGGAAAAAAAGTTTTAATGGAGTTCTGATTTTTTTTCTACTTTAAATCCATGGCAGTGCTGCCTCTGACTGAATGAGATTTGGTAATGTCATTACTGTGCTCCTTGCTTCAGGCTCTGACATTGTAGAGGCAGGGTTTTGCCCCCTCAAGATGGCCACCTCTACCTAGAGATAGTGTGGTATTAAGCACAGTTAGTAAATGGTGACTAGTCTTTCGACCTCTGCCTGCTTTTTTTTTGGGCATAACTTAGAGTTCAGTCCCTCATTAAGGTTGGGTTCACACCTTTGCAAAGTCCTAATGCATTGTAAAGTGCATTGTGTCCAGGAAGCCCATTTAGGAGGATTACATTAACCACTTGCTTACCGGGCACTTACCCCCTTCCTGCCCATGCCAATTTTCACCTTTCAGTGCTGTTGCACTTTGACAGTTGTGCAGTCATGCAACACTACCCATATGAAATTATAATTTTTTTCACACAAATGGAGCTTTCTTTTGTCGGTATTTAATCACCGCTGGTTGTTTTATGTTTTATGTGGCACTGCTGGGCACAGGTGGGTGACACTGCTGGGCACTGATCATCAGTGCCAATCTCTTCTCTGGCAATTGCCGGTTATCGGCAGTATTTTCTTCACGCTGTGACCGCTTGAGGAAAGTGCAGCCGATAACCGGCAACTGTATTTACCCGGTGATCTGCTGTGTCATTGGGCACAGCTGATCACGTCGTAAAAGGCCACTGTGATTGGACTTTTATCATATCATGTGATCAGATGTGTCCGCTGGGGGCACACAGGGCGTGTTCTGGGAGGACGTCCTCCCAGAACTAGACAACCACACTGTAGACGTCTTTCGGCTATAGCACGTTTGGGAAAAGGTTCAAAAAAAGAAAAAAAAAAAGCTTATTCTAAATGATTGGTACTAATGGGTGCCTAGTGTGGTATCATGTGCTGCGGTAGCATGCATGTTGCTGCAGTGCTTTACTGTAATGTAGTGTGATCCTGGCTTGTGCAATGCCCATATCATGTTATCCTGAATAGCCTATCAAATCTGCACTCAGCACTGCAACCAAAAAGACATCTAAAATCTATGAAACATTGAGACATCACACATTTTTCAACTTTCCCTAACTATATAATATCTAAAGGATCATGCCTAAATACTTGTATAGAAAATACACAGTCTTCTAACAATCTAAAGTAAGATGAGGCATCCAGTTCCAGAAGCCTTTCCTAAAGTGTCCAGCAAACCTAAAAATAGACTATTTTTCCTGCTATCACATTTCATCTAAAAATATGCCTCTTCATCTGTACTGCTGAATATGTTTTGAATTTGTTTAAAGCTCTACAATAACATTGGTTATTAGAGTTTTTTTGAAATTGTTACATTTGAACAGGTAACACATTTGACCATCTTTTCTTTTTTTTTTTTTTTTTTTTCTTGCAGTGAAAGCAGGTCATACTGTATACAGCCCCATGTCCTTATGTCCTTTTATCAATACAGTCCAGTCAAAATGTAAAAATGAAACCCTGTGATGCCAAGCAAGTGCATGGTCTATCTACTAAGTAGTTGTTTTCTTAGCCAGATGCTACTGTTCTTTACTTGGATACCCCATTCCTATTTAAAGCGGTAGTAAAGTCTCAGGGAAAAAGTTAATTATAAAAAACTTCTGCCTTTGCAGGTTTAAATCACAATGTATTAGTATGCACTGGATACCTAGTAAATTATGACAGACTTAAGTGCAAACGGAGCCCTCCAGCACTGCATTGTGCATGGCACTTCATCTTTACACTGTCTTCCTTCCGGGTTCTGTATTTTCACCTGCTTGAATGGTTGGACTTTGGTGACATTCCCATCCATACGCACGGGGATTACATACCCACGGCACAGAGAGAGGGCCATAAATGTGGTCTAAGCTCATGCACATCTCAGATCACATGTAAAGTGTTATTAAACCCACAACAGTAAATCGGTCTGTATATGCAGTAAACCATGCTGGTTATACTCCCTGTGGAACCCAAGGGGTTAATCGTCTGCATTGACTTCTCTGATCCTCCCCTTCCAGGTTCCCCCTCTTGTCTCCTGATAAGACATTTTGTGTGGAGACACTTTGCTCATGCTTAGTTTTGATGTGCATTTCTAGAGGGGTTTTTTTTTCCCCTGGGAGTGTGCATGTGATCAGCACAGGGGCACTCAGCACTGTCCAGAGGTCAGGGGTTCTGCATCCTTCTAGACTCTAGAGGAAAAAGGAAACTCCTCTTACAAGCTTTATCTAGTGCTCTGCTGAACACGGAGAGAAGTCACAGCACTGCTATATACTACTGATGGGAAAAGGTATTTAGCAGTTTATATTTACTAAAATAATTGCATTTCAATGTAGTGTATACAGTGGGAGACCAGATATAGTGAATGCAGGGTCCTGGGTTTAGTAACACACTTGACTAATTTCCAATGCTTGCCATATGCCCATATAGCTTTAGACAGGTGTTTGGAGAGCATTTGAGGAGTGTTAAAAACGCTTCCTTAACGCCCGCTAACAAAGCTAGTGTGAACTTGGCCTTAGTCTAGTACACAGGGGCCTAATGTCAAGCAGTTCAATAGAAACTGTCTGACATTCGCCCTGTGTGTATGACAGCCGGTCCGACAGAAGTCAGCCGTTTGGCCCACCTCTGTCAAATAGGCATGACTGAAAAAGGTGCCAATTGGCTCCCGATCAGCACTCTCAGCCACTGGCTGAGAGTGCTGACTGGAGTGTTCTCCTTGTCAGAACACGATAGCATAGCACGGGAGATCTCTGTACTAGCATCCGATTAGGGATGCACCGAAATTTCAGCCGAAAATAGCCCTATTGGCATTCTGCGATAGGAACAATTTAGCCGATACTGCAGATGTGGGGGAGGGGATGGATGAAAAAGGCAGGAGAGGAGCAAAGTATACATTGACTGGCTGTCAATATATGTCAGTGCCGGTTTTTAAATGTAATTACTGGCTTTTTTTTTTTTTTTTTTCTTCACTATAGCTTACAGAATTAGCTGTCACTCTCTCCCCCCCCCCAATGTTGATGGCATGTGGCCTGGTATGATAAAGGAGGGGGAGGGGGGGGCGCTCGTCGTGGTCATTCCCCCTTTCCTGACCTGTCGTGCTGCATGCTTGGATAAGGGTCTGGTATGGATTTTGGAGGGGGGGTTTTGTTTTTGTTTTGTTTTTTAATTTTGGCGTGGGAGTTCACACAAAGCCCTTCGAGTCTGGTATGGATTTTGAGGACGGGAGGGGGAACCTCACGCTGTTTTTTTCAATTTTTTTAATTTGACGGCAATTCTTTTACATTCAGCTGTCAGTGGGGAACCCCACTGACAACAAACATTACCACATGGTTGTCACTATTAAAATACCGCATGACTTAATAAAATAACTCAAGGTATTTTAGTAGCATTTACTTTTTTCTGACCTCCGGAACGGATTAATTGGTTTTCAATGCATCCCTATACGAAAAGTTCTGCACAACTGGATTATATTTGTAAACCGAGGTATTACTGTAATTGGTGATGCAGGAAGCAGCGAAGGAACATTACACAGCCCTTCAGAGAGTAAACCTCTGCTGTCCTCTTGAGGTTTGCATGCTTGTTCTGCACAGATTACAGAATATGGTCCTTTAAATTTGGAACTAAAGGCTCTTGTAGAAAAACGGCTATTGGGTAGGGTTTTTTCTCCCTAACTGTACACTGAGCCACACCTTCACAGCTTAAGGTAGAACCTGGGCATGGCGTTGGTGCCGGGGTGAAGTAACTCTTGTGTGCAAGGTGTCAGGACATTTATATGCATATATTTGTTTCAATTCTCATTGAAACTAAATTTTTAACTGGTAATATTTTTTGCTTTTCTTGGTCCTCCCTTCCCTCTCTTGACATTTTCTTAAAATTCTGTCTGTGTGTGGAGATTTTTGTTTTTTTGTTTTCCCCAGTGCAGCATCTCCTGTGCTGCATGGGTTAAAGGCTTGAAAAAGCCACTCGCCAAATGCGAGGAGAAATTCCTCTAACGAGCACAGATGAAGCATGGAGCGACTGCACCTGCGCTCCAAGCCTCATTGTGAAGCCGAGTTCCGGTTTACAACTTCCGGTTTCCGGCTTCTTCGGCTCCGCTGAGAGGAGACAACCTCTCCACCGCCGCGGGGGACTAGGAGTAAGTACTGTAGTGTATACAACATGTCATATCACTATAATGGAGTACAGGGGAGCTGGGATATACTGTACATTACTCATTAATGTATATCCCAACTCCCCAGTACTCCATTATAGTGATATGGCATGTATACAGTAATGTATATCCCAGCTCCCCTGTACTCCATTATAGTGATATGACATGTATACAGTAATGTATATCCCAGCTCCCCTGTACTCCATTATAGTGATATAACATGTATACAGTAATGATTACTGTATACATGTCATCACTATAATGGAGTACAGGGGAGCTGGAATATACATTACTGTGTACAGTTTTATATTTTGGACTCTTTATTTGAAAGAAAAATGTAATTTCATAAGCTTTAAGGGGGTGTGGTTTGGGGTGGGGGTTGGGGCGGGCCAGGGGTGGGGGCGGACCTGGGCAAGGTTGGGTGGAGCAACTGGTGGAGAGTAAGTTTTTTGTGACCGGCTAGTAGGTCTGGATTCGAAATTTCAACCCCTGGGTTAAATGCTTTATGCCGGGGGGGGGGGAGCAGGGAAATTAATTTTTTTCTCGCAGGTGGTTCTCACATCTTTTCTTACAATCTGGTCTGTGGGTGGAGTCTGTGTCCTCTTGTACAATACAGTGCATTGACATGACAGTGCTATCAACAACTGACGTGTGTGTGGGAGAAGACTGGGCAAGCTTGGTGTCCAATGTCCAGCTGCTGGGTATGCTAAAAAAATCTGTTTTTTTTATGCCACATACAGTGTAAGCTTTGATCTTCTGGTTGGTGCTGCTGCGACTTCCTTCCTCGTACAGTGATAGTATGGTGATACATTGCAGTGTTCTACTTGGCTAGCGCCTTATACCTCCTATCGCACAATATGTTCCAGTTGCAGGTTTCTTTAAAACACCTATGTAATTAGTCTAATTTTATTTATTTTAGCTGCTGCATTTCAGCAAGGAAAGATACCACCCACACCTTTTGCTGCACCACCAGCTGGCAGTGCCATGATTCCACCTCCACCTAGCCTAGGTAAGAGATTTATTTATTTTTTTTCTTAGAAGTGGCTTTTAAACACTTGGGTTTTTATTTGCATATTTCACTTTTTAAAAAAAAAAAATGTTTTATTATGGCTTTACCTCCGTTTTATCTTTTTTATTAGGTGGACCTCCACGCCCTGGTATGATGCCTGCACCACCAATGGCTGGGCCTCCAATGATGCCAATGATGGGACCCCCTCCACCGGGAATGATGCCAGTAGGCCATGGTGAGCTACTCTTGCTTTAATTTATCCACCGTACTTGAACATATTTTTTTTTTTTTTTTTTTGGCATTCAAAGCAGGTGTAAATGTAACTTTGTTTTGTTACTAAAATAATAAACATGTATTTACCTGATCTGTGATCCTCTTTTTGGTTCACCCACTGGTGCTTTCCACTTTTCTTTTGTGTCTGCCCCATAGCAAACTGCTTGCTATGAGGGCAGATGTGCAGGCTTGCTGCCAGGGTAGGCTGTGTGCGTCCACCCCTAAGGCCAGTAAGGTCACACATCAAAGGAGATTTGCGCACCACAGTGCCCCCTACCACTCTGGCAGCTGTCCATTCCCAGCTGCGGTAGGGGGCAGTGTGGCGCGCAATTCATTGCATGATACGGCTCCCTTTTTTTGTTTTGTACAAACTTTATTTTAAGTGTACAAAACGTACATTTAATTCATGGCAATGTACAGCAGTGCAATGCGCTGTTAAACATTGCCGTATGATTTGGCGTGGTACGCTGTTATAAAATGCAGCATGTTTGCGTTTTTATCGCAGCATGCTGCAGTGCGTCTATGTTGTATTGCAGTGTAAAGGGGATGCATAGGAAACCATTGTGTGTGTTTGCGGTGATAGACATTTTACAATGCAGTAAAAATGTCTGTCATGGCACATAGTGTGAATTGGTTCCAACTGAAATGTGTTTTTAAACATGAACTTTGAGGTTTCCTGTTCACAATTTTATACAAATCCCAAGTGGTTAATTTCTCAAAAGCTATACAGTTCTTTTGTCCATGTTGGGCTATATATAAGAAAAGCTGATACTTATCAATTTTGTATTTTGCATGTGACCATTAAATTAAGACTTTGTGTCATGTGTTCTATCATTTACACCTGTGATAGTACGCAAGTTAAAATCCTTATGAGTGATGCATTTTTTTTTTTTTTGTCCCGCTTAGGTCCTGGTATGAGACCACCAATGGGAGCGCACATGCCAATGATGCCAGGTCCACCAATGATGCGTCCACCATCCCGTCCCATGATGCTTCAATCTCGTCCGGGCATGGCACGCCCTGACCGATAAGGATATTTACATACCTGTAACTGCTTTTCAAATGGTGTATGTTAATATGGAGTCACAAAGCCTATTGGCCAAAATACTACTTACCAGATGCTATTATTTTTGTTTTATAACTGTTCTCAAAATTTAAAACCTAGTAAAGAATATTGTGGAAAGGGTGATACCAAAAGTGATATTTCAGGTATTAGTGGAATTTGGAAAGTATCTCTTGGGAACGACAGCACCAGGATTCCACTGCCACAATTTGACTCTGCTATAGGAGGAAGAATGGGACTCCAAGTTGGATATGAACAGAGGGTAGGGTGTTCCCTTTGTTCTCCTGTTCTGTCCAGTGTCAAATTAAAAAATCAAGATGGGGAGTGGGACCTGCTGCTTCCATGGCAAATATGCGGCCTTAGGAACTCATTAACTAATTCGCTGAGCTCTTGCCCTCAAAGTCCTTGAGAGACCTCTTTCCAGAATCTACTAAAAAAAAAAAAAAAAGTTTGGGTTGACTGACCCTTTACATAACAGCAGTGCCAGCATGCATGTTGGCTGCAAATGTTGACCTTTTCATATTCCACAGCTTAACAAGTTTTAGTTCCTATTTAAGGCATTTGACTTATATACCTAAAAAGGAAACAGTACATCTTTTGTTATTTTGACAAATCATCCCAACGGTATGAAAAGTTATTTTTCAAAATAAATCACGATGGAAGTTGCACAACTTTCCACACAAGACAGTTGGACTTTGTGTTCAAACAAATGTTTTATGTACGTTTTTGTATTCTTTCCTAGAAAGCAACTGTTTCGTAAGAACTGCTTTTTTTTTTAAATTAAAAATTTTGTGTTAGACCTGTTGCATCATCTTTTTACTTGTTCCATTGTTCTGTATCCATAAACTGCAAGAATAAATTCTAAAGAGGTTGAACATGGGCACATATTGCCAAAATGTGGTCCTTTTAATAGGCTTGAGAGATAAGTACACCTTTTTGTAGAAAGAGAAAAAAAAAAAAAAATTTGCAGGTTAACAAGTGCTCTTACCCCCCCCCCCCCCACTTTTTTTTTTTTGTTTTTATTTTCACTGTAGCTCGTAAAGCACTGCACACACAATCAGCAGGTTGTGGGTGTATTGCCAGGCTTCTGCAGGCACTCAGCATAGCTCCCATATGGACAGACAGTTACTGCATTGCAGGAAGAATCTGAACTATGAGAGCGCTTAGAAGTGCCCATGCATTGAGAATTAGGAGCGATCTGCTGCAGTGACACAGGACTTGTAGTTCATGCTTTCACAGAAGTCTGAATTATGCGGCTACATGGGTGAAGCCCCAAACAGTCGTGCTATTTTTAAGTTTCTGATAGTGGGTTTAGGGAAAGGATCCCCCACCCACTGTCACAGCTGGGGATAGGGAGGGTTTGGGGACTGGAATATAGTAACATGTTACACTCTCTATATACATGTAACATGTTACAAAGGGTGAACTTCTTTAACCTACTATTACCTATGTTGACCTAAGAGAGAGGTAGGCAACCTTAAAGAGCTGGAGATCTACCTGAACAACAGGGGAGAAGTCAAAGGGCAATGGGCACATTGTTGCCTCCTCACACCTGGTTTAAACCTCTAATTGCTGTACTACCGTGTTGCAGACGCTTGCATTGCACTGCAATTATGGGTTTAAATCCAGTGGTGAGGCAAAATATCCTCCTAACCTATCAAACACAGTTGGATTGCTTTTCAGAGAGAGGAGCAGCAGTGCTTCCTGCACTTGTGAATGAACCATTAGTTGCATTTGGCAGCGGCACCCTTAGGGCTTGTTCACATGTAAAGTTGGGAGGTGGTAAAACCTTCTGGTGACGTTTTGATGTTACCTCCCCAGTCCCTCCCCCCTTTAGCTGCTGAGGCAGCTGCCAAAGATATACACATACCACAGCAGGACGCCTGTGAATTGCGGCCCATTCAATTAAATGGGGCCGCTCTGTAGGCGCCCTGCAACTGCATGCTTCTGCGGGGTCCAAGAGGTTAAAGGAAGGAAGATGAGGAAGCAACACAATGTTGCCTGCTTCAACCCCTTGTTTGCTGTACTGTACCAGGTTGATAGGGCATTTAACTCCTGCTGGGACATGTGTACACCCCTGGCCACTGCAGCTAAAAAGGGTGTGGTTGCGGCAGGAGTAGTAAAAACACATCCTAACTATGGGGGGGGGGGGGGGGGACCCTTACTGTTCTATAATATCCTGAACACCTGCATTCAGGATATAATAGAAGTCTATGGCTAAGTGCAGCAAACCTGCAGGAAAGCTGCAAGTACACGGCACTGCACCTGCGGTGTGGATAAACCGCAGCGTATCAGTGTGAAAGTAGCCCTACACTACACTGTCCAGTGTATTGCTTCACACTCCTCTTTCATGCTGCTGGCACCACTCTAGAGACCGCTAGCCAGGATAAAAGGTAGATATGTGGAGGAGGCATGCTGGGGAGAGGCAGAGTACCTTGCTGAGAAGTGGATGCTGTGGAGGCGGCAGCAGCAGCAGAACACCTCGCTGAGAGGTGGATGAGGAGCCACACTAAGGAGAGGCAGAACACCGCACTGAGAGGTGGGCACAGTGGAGGAGGCAGTATGATGTGGAGAGGCAAAATATCTTGCTGAGAGGTGGATGCTGTGGAGGAGGCGGAGGCATGCTGATGAGAGGTGGCACACCTCGCTAAGAGGTGGCACGCTAATGCAGGCTCCTCGATGCGGGACACATTGATAAAACGGATTACAGAGGAGCTGAGGTTCTGTGAGTACTGAATCCAGGAATACTTGGGAGTATTTTGGAGTACAGGGAATGATTTGAAGTACTGGGAGTAACCTGGAGGACTAGGCGTTTGGTGTAGTTATAACAAAAACAAAAATCCTGATTAGGATTAGTAAGGAGGTTTCACAGCAAAATGTGTGTGTGTGTATGTATGTATGTATATATGTATGTATATATATACAGTCATGGCCGAAATTGTTGGCACCCTTGATATTTTTCCTGAAAATCAAGTATTTCACACAAAAAAGGTATTGCATTAACACATGTTTTGCTATACACATGTTTTATTCCCTTTGTATGTATTGGAACAAATATAAAACAGAGGCAGAAAAGCAAATATGACATAATGTCACACAAAACCCCAAAAATGGGGGTCTGGACAAAAGTATTGGCACCCTTAACTTAATATTTGGTTGCACACCCTTTGGAAAACATAACTGAAATCAGTCGCTTCCTATAACCATCAATAAGCTTCTGACACCTCTCACCCGAATTTTGGACCACTCTTCCTTTGCAAACAGCTCCAGGTCTCTCTTATTGGAAGGACACCTTTTCCCAACAGCAATTTTAAGATCTCTCCACAGGTGTTCAATGGGATTTAGATCTGGGCTCATTGCTGGCCACTTCAGAACTCTCCAGCGCTTCTTTGCCATCCATTTCTGAGTGCTTTTTGACGTATGTTTGGGGTCATTGTCCTGCTGGAAGACCCAGGATCTTGGACGCAAACCCAGCTTTCTGACACTGGGCCCTACAGTGCGACCCAAAATCCTTTGGTAATCCTCAGATTTCATGATGCCTTGCACACAGTCAAGGCACCCAGTGCCAGAGGCAGCAAAACAACCCCAAAACATCATTGAACCTCCACCATATTTTACCGTAGGTACTGTGTTTTGTTCTTTGTAGGCCTCATTCCGTTTTCGGTAAACAGTAGAATGATGTGCTTTACCGAAAAGCTCTATCTTGGTCTCATCTGTCCACAAGACGTTTTCCCAGAAGGCTTTTGGCTTACTCAAGTACATTTTGGCAAACTGTAGTCTTGCTTTTTTATGTCTCTGTGTCAGCAGTGGGGTCCTCCTGGGTCTCCTGCCATAGCGTTTCATTTCATTTAAATGTCGACGGATAGTTCGCGCTGACACTGATGCTCCCTGAGCCTGCAGGACAGCTTGAATGTCTTTGGAACATGTTTGGGGCTGCTTATCCACCATCCGGACTATTCTGCGTTGCAATCTTTCATCAATTTTCCTCATCCGTCCACGACCAGGGAGATTAGCTACAGTGCCATGGGTTGCAAACTTCTTGATAATGTTGCGCACTGTGGACAAAGGCAAATCTAGTTCTCTGGAGATGGACTTGTAACCTTGAGATTGTTGATATTTTGCCACAATTTTGGTTCTCAGGTCCTCAGACAGTTCTCGTCTCCTCTTTCTGTTGTCCATGCTTAGTGTGGCACAGACAGACACACAATGCAAAGGTTAAGTGAACGTCTCTCCTTTTTATCTGCTTTCAGGTGTGATTTCTATATTGCCCACACCTGTTACTTGCCCCAGGTGAGTTTACAGGAGCATCACATGCTTGTAACATTCTTATTTATCCGCAGTTGTGAAAGGGTGCCAATACTTTTGTCCAGCCCATTTTTGGAGGTTTGTGTGACATTATGTCGAATTTGCTTTCTTTCCTCCCTTTTTTTGTTTTGTCCCAATACACACAAAGGGAATAAACATGTGTATAGCAAAACATGTGTTAATGCAATACGTTTCGTGAGAAAATACATGATTTCCTGGAGAAATATCAAGGGTGCCAACAATTTCGGCCATGACTGTATATATATGTATATGTATATGTATATGTGTATTATGTATATGTATATGTATATGTATATATATATATATATATATATATATATGAGAGAGGTGTGTGTGTATATTATACAGTATCTCACATAAGCCCTCACATTGCTACAATGTAAAGTAGTGAGTGTACAGCTTGTTTAGCAGTGTAAATTTGCTGTCAACTCAAAATAACTCAACACACAACCATTAATTTCTCTAAACCGCTGGCAACAAAAGTGAGTAGAGCCCTAAGTGAAAATGTCCAAATTGGGCCCGAAGTGTCAATATTTTGTGTGGCCATTATTATTTTCCAGCACTGCCTTAACCCTCTTGGGCATGGAGTTCACCAGAGCTTCACAGGTTGCCACTGGAGTCCTCTTCCACTCCTCCATGATG